CGCTTTGGCCTGATGAGGTTAGCTCAGTGTTCCTGATATGCAAGGCTTCTACAAAACTGCCGGCTGCAAAGACCACCTAGTAAAGACCACCAAGTTCCAATGCCCTCCTCCTGCTGAACACAGTCAGTGGGAGACCACCTCAGAGAACAGCTGGGTCCTAGGGTCACTGCAAATCGGCATCAGGGTCTGGAGAGCGACGAAGGTCTTGGCAGACTCCAAACCTGTGTCCCTCAGAACCCCGACTCACCCAGCTCCTCTCTCCAAACTGGGTGTCTACATAGCTACACACCCCCAACCAAGGAAGGCCGCTCCGTGGCCATCTCTCCACCTTCCTATCATGATCACGCTGGCACCCAAGCTCACAGAGAGCACAGGGGAGACGGCAGCATGGGTCAGGTGGTCTGGAGTGAAGGATGCTGGGATTCCTGCTCACCGGGTGCTGCAGGAAAGTGCACTGGGGAGGGAGAGGGAGGCGGTGGCAGCCAGTGGCCATGCTCCTCTGCCCTGAGCTCCAGAGCTGTGCTGAGCTTTGTCTGTTCCCCCTCAGTTCTGGTTGCTGTCCCTCTGGCCTGTTTCCATGATACAAAAGGACAGACTGAACACGGACGGCATGCTCAGCCTGGCTGCAGCAAGTCCTCCAGCTCCCAGGAGTGTTCACATCAGGACACCGGACTCTGGGCTGCTGGGGAGAACGCTGGGCCTAACTTCTGGCTTTCTGTCCCTGTGTGAACATTACTCAGTCCGTGACACGGAGGTCAGGGTCGTTCCCCACCTCTGCTGTGCTCCGGATTCTGACGAGTCATTTTTGGTGTGAGCCTCCTGCCTTATTCAGAAATAGCTTCCCCTGGGAGGGTTGAAATTGTCTCTACACAAATCCCCTCTAGAATAAAGCCCAGCAGCAAGTTGGCTCACTGTGGCCACATCAATTTTCTAATATATTATAATGTAATATAAATTTCATCTTATGTGGAAATAGTTAATGTTCTGGAAAAAGAACTGCCTGCTGCTTTTCAGGCTTCTGGCAAAATTGGAAGGATTTTTCTGTGTTCCATTCATAACTGCCCTTCCTCTAGCCACTAAACGGGATAGTTTACATGGAGTCTCCTGTGACACCATCTGGGGCCTGGAATTTCCATTCTGTTCTTTGGTTTCTAAGTCTTTCGGGCTCACTGCACCTCTCTGTCTCCACTCCACAGAAGTGTCAGCACTTCTTCCCTAGAACACGACCCTTCCCTGTGAGCAGGAGAGATGTGAGGAGATTCATCTCAACACTCAGCAGGAAGAAACCCTAGTCAGTGAAATCCTATCTTCACAGCCCGACTAACCAAGACCCCACACAACACCACCCAGCTGGTGGAGTCATTTCTCACTAGCAGCCCTACCACATGGGCACAGGGACAGGACGTGGGTGTCCCCAGGATAGAGCCATGAGAGCCGCAGAGCAAGTACCATGAGTGGACATCCAGGATCTACTTCGATCCAGGGGGCGAGGAAGACGATGGAAGAGGCTGAGTGGGTTTGTGGGGCCAGCATACACTCTTCTCCACCTTCACACAGCACTGGGGTCAGTATCGTCCACGACATGGTATTTCATAAGAAGAAAAAATAGCCAGGCGTGGAGGCATGCCTTTCATCCCATCACTTAGGAGACAGGAGGATCTCTGTGTGTTTGAGGCCAGCCTGATCTACATAGTGAGTTCCAGGCCAGCCAGGGCTACAGAGGGAGACCCTGTCTCAAAAAAGAAAAGAAAAAAGAGCCAACTCTGGGGACTTTCCAGGCTAACTGGTCCACCTTGCTTGTCTGACAGCAGGCAGGGAGCTGCTCTGGACTTCCTCCTCCGAATCCACTAGTGCTTTCCTACTTCGAGTTTACATTGCGGCCTTGGGCACATTTGATTTTTTCAATTCTAAGGCAAGTGCCCAAGCATCCACTTTCCTTCGGGCTGTAGCTAAAGCATCACTCATAGTTACTCACTGAGACCAGGTGTGAAGAAAGACCACAAGGCCGAGAGAAGCTGGGGTTGGCAAATACACGAACTCAAGGAATTGCCAACTGACCTAAGAAATTAGCCGATTATAAACAACAAGAAACCTTTTCACTGCGGTCCTGCGCCAGGGCCACCTCCCTGACAGGAGAAATGCCACAGCAGCTGTCATTCCGGGCGACTGCACGAACACTCAGCCCGGTGCCCACGCAGGTCCAACCATGACACGCGTGGTCTCACCATCCCACTCCCGGGAGGCACCATGGTGGTCAATGGGCCCTGCAGGAGCCTCCTGTACACAGGCCAAGGAATTCTAAGAGGAGAGCCAACCCCTCACCCCTTGACTGCCCGCCACAGAAGGCCCTGGAACAACCAAGTCAGGAACACGGACGAGGGACCAGCATGTTTTACACTCATACATGTGCTTTTCTCAAACGGCCGTTCTCAGCTCCCAAATATGGAACTTAGCAGTCAAAGGTATACATCCTCCACTCACCCTGACAGACACACAAACACGTTCACCAGGGCTAAGGGTCACCCTCAAGGGGCAGACCTACCCTTTGGGACTGTGTGTGTCACATCCTGAAGCACCCCAATGTCCTAAGGGCAGCATATAGGACAGGTAGAAGGACAACCACAGGTCAGGTCACCTCACTCTCTGGCAATGAGGCTGTGAGGAAATACGGCAACAGGACTCAGGGTCCAGGTCACCGTGGTAGGTGTGCAGCGTCTGTCATGGTCAGTCACGTTTATGAAACCTCTCAATTCTACGTTGGTCAACATGCTACAGTAGCTTCTCACTGGACATTCACATCCAGTGAGCAGACTAGGGCCCTTCAGCATCCCTCCTTTCTACCCTGCAGTACCTGCCAAGACCACTTAGCAGAAGTCCTTTTCTGTAGGCTGTAAGCATTTCAGAAGGTGAAAATCCTAAACAGCTGGAGGCAACCTTGCCCTGGTCCCACTGATTTTCTAGTTTAGAGATAGAAGTCTCAGATCGGCAGCTCAAGGCACAACGTCTCACGGATGCATGAGGGCGCCTGCCTTCTCCCGCACACGTGCATACATACACCTCCAACAAGTGCCCTCTCCCACCAGGAAAAAGGAAACGGAAGCTTCTGGAAGGCTGGAGAGAGGAGGGGCTTAGTGAGAAGCACTACTGTGTCCTCTCCCTGACTTCGCCTCCGTTAGTGGTGCCAAAGATTCACTGGGCAGTCTCTCTGCCAAAGGCGGGGGCCAGGCGAGTGAGAAGCCACCCATCACCGGAATCGAGGATGGGACAAGCTTCCAGTCCTATGCGGCTTCTTCCTTGGGTCTGTACGGAAAGCTCATTTCAAAAGGAACTCAAAATTGCTGCTCTTCCTCGCGGCCTGAGTATGTCTTCCAAGCGCCTCACACCTATGACGTTGTCACCGTGTGCCTGCTAATCTCCCCAGATGAACTGGCCCCGGGCCTCAAGGACAGCTTCACTACGAGACAGTCTCTTACAGGACAGTCCTCTGTCCTTTCTCACCATCTCTACTCACTGCCAGCCTCTGGTAGCAAAGACCAGACCCTTCCACCAACCACCCTACCCTGTGAGCACCGTCCTCACAGTCAGCCGGAAGTGAAACTGTCGAAAGAGCAAGAGGACGCCCTAACAAACAACAGAATTCCTTTTCACACACCTCTGGCCAGCTGTGGCTTCTACTGAGGTCAGAGAGGAGAGCAGCCCACTACTGATGAACCACCCACCCTCCAACACTCTCTTCCCATTGGCTGGCAGGCTGGCAGGCAGGCTGGGCTGCAGGAAACACCGCTTGGCTTACCTTGGTCAAAGCCATTCCGCCTGTAATAATCCAGTGCCAGCTCCTCCACGGAGCACAGGATTGTGGTGGGGTTCGTGGTGTCTCCGGCCTCGATGACAAACACCGACTTGCCCATTCCATGCTGTGGGCACAGCCTGCCTGTGATGGTCACCTAGAAGGGTAGCAAAAAAACGTTAATCCAAGTCGAGCATGGTGGTGCACACCTTTAGTCCCGGACTCGGGAGGCAGAAGCAGGTGGGTTTCTGTGAGTCTGAAGTTAGCCCGGTCTATACAGTGAGTTCCAGGGCAGCCAAGGCTACATAGTATGACTTTGTCTCAAAACCAAAACCAAGCACACCTTGATTAGCCTTGCCTCAATGGAAGCCCCTGAAAACCCGCCTGCGGCATTCTGGGGATGGGCCTGCCTACTCCTGCAGGGCAGGACCCACCCTGGCACACTCTGAAGGACGTGACTCTCCCAGCCTCTGAAGAACATCTAAGAGGCCCCTAGAGACGCAGGCAAAAGCGGAAGATGCTCAAGTTCTTATTCAGCAGGTCTGTCACCCAGCCCTGGTGTGCCCATATGGGGTAGCCCAGAGGTACCAGAGAAGAGGGCATCATAATGAAATAGAGACAATGGTGATGTCACCGTCCCAGGTGAGAATTCGGACATTCTGAGTGATTCCCGGGGGCCTCCACCCAGAAGAATCTAAGTAAATATGTTTAAACCGAGGACAGTCAAAGGAGGGCTGGGGATGTCGCCTGAGTTTAACCAAAAACAAACAAAATTCACCCAAAGGACACCTACGTGCTTGACATCTCCCACGGAAATTTCTGGCAGCTGGCTGAAGAGGCGCTTGTATTTTTTGCAGCTGGGAGACTCTCGCAGGCGCACAGCTCGCTGATAGAGTGAAAGTCGGTGTCCTGTCCGCACTGCTGGATCTGCCAGGCCTGCGCTGATGCACCTAATTGCCTAGCAATCAAGAGGTCACATGTCAGGTTCCCGAACGTGCTGACGGCAGCAGCTGTTGATTTAGTTTGACAAGAAACCTCACAACTAATTACTTCATTTTAGCAAATGGGCAAACAGTGCTTGGAGAAATACAAGCTATTTCCTTAGCTCTCGCTCCGACGGCTTGAACCGGACCCCTCACTGTAAAACGTGCCGCTGCACAGCTGAGCTGCCGTCATTCACGTGACCAGAGTGGAACCACCCGGCAGGAGTGAAGACACTCTAGGGAGACACTTGTGCCCTTCCCTTCCTAGGCCCCAAGACACTGACATGTGTCTCACATTGGAAGAAAAGGCTGGGGCCCTGAGGCCAGCCAGAAAAGGGGCTTGTCTTCTGGAATACGACTGTGCACAGCTCTGACCACTTGCCAGGCCACCGTGCAGGAGAGACCGGAGCTGGGACCAGGACAGTCCACCCTGGGCCGGGCCACACCTGGCCCAGAACCAGTGGCTCTGCAGCCTCTGGTCCTCTATCAGTTTTCCTTTGTGTGCACATTTAGTTTTATTGTAACAAAGCAACGTGTACACTTTTAACCTTGAGAACTGAGTATCACTTTTGGGGGGGGGAGTCGCGGCGGCGGCGGCAGCAGCAGCAGCAGCAGCGGACTGACTTTCAAATAGACAAAATGACAGTGGGAGTGAGCGGGGCGGAGCTGGAGAAATGGTTCAATAAGGGCACTGGCTGTTTTTCCAGAGGACCCAGTTCCAATTGCCAGCATTTACGAGACGGGGGACAACTGTCTGTAATTCCAGTTCCAGGGAATCTGGTGCCCTCTTCTGGCCTTCAGCGGCACTGCATCCATACAGTGCACAGGCATACATGCAGACAAAACACCCATACACATAAAATAACAACTTTTTAAAGATTACAACAGGGCAAGTCCATTCCTAATAAAACCTCCCAGGTTCTGGAGATCTCTCACAGTGAGTGGCAGGGCTCCAATCATCATTAGGAGAGAATTTTACTTTAAAGATGTCGCCCCCGGGGGCTAGAGGATCGTTAACACCCACATGATGGTTCACAGCCATGTTAAACTCCAGTTCAAGGAGACCCAATGCCCTCCATGGGCGCCAGGCCCTCGCATGGTACACATACATACATACATGCAGGGAAAACACTCACACGTATAAAATAAATGGAAAATGGAATTTTTAGTGTCATTTTAAACTACACTGTCCATTAAACATCACAGTTACACAAGCTATAAGAGAAAGCATGTTGTCCAATCGCCCTCCTAACCCACACAACACCCCAAACCCACCCTTTGCTGACCTTCTAGTCACTTAAAAATTTTTTCCCTTTTTATTAAACAGGAGAAAATAGATACATGTTGGGAAATACCAACTGTCCATATTCACAGAGACACAGTGTAGTCTCCGAGCCCAATATACAGAGAAAGGAGGGAGGAGCTAGAATTCTATGGAGTGCTCAAAGGGCCAAGCACCCTCCAGCCTCTGGCAAGGCAAAGGGAGGTCTTTCCCACAGGTGTGGATTCCACACAGTTTTTGTAGAGATAAGAAATGATAAGGATTAATTCAGAAGAGTGGAGATTCTGTGTTTTGCTTAAGTTATATTTCCCTAAGTTGAGAGTCACAGTATTAAGAAAAGAAACCCCCAAAGCAAGCAACTGAGTAGAATCAGGGGCAGCTTTTATTCCTAGTGACTAGAAAAATTACAAAGGAAAAAAATGTAAGGGTTAGACTCCATCAGTGTTAATCATCTTCTTGTTCCTCCTCCTCACCCATTCATAGTCATCCCCTCCCCTCCACCGTCATCCCTCCCCTCACCATCATCCCTCCCCTCCACCGTCATCCCTCCCCTCACCATCATCCCTCCCCTCCACCGTCATCCCTCCCCTCACCATCATCCCTCCCCTCCACCATCATCCCTCCCCTCACCGTCATCCCTCCCCTCTACCGTCATCCCTCCCCTCACCATCATCCCTCCCCTCCACCGTCATCCTGCATTCATCCTCCTCTCTCCTCCCCTTCGGCACCATCTTGCCCTCATCCTCCCCCACTCCCCACATCATCATCTTCCCTTCATCTCCATCTCGGGAACCAGTTGTACTGCAAGGGATCTGGCCCAACATCACCTCTGACGACCTCTCCTAGTCTTTGCACCTGCGGAGAACAGTCAGTAAACCTGGGAGGAAAACCTCTGGTCCTTCCCGCTGCCTCTCTGCGGGCCACACTCCGGATTTAACTTGGGTGCTCTGTCAGATCCTCTGAGTTTCCACTCGATTTCAGTGGTCTCCGGCATCAGATCACCACCCTCACTTGGATGGAACTCTCTGGAGAGAACTTAAGGGTTCTCGGCCAAATAAAAACCGCCCCCTTTGGATTCTGTCTCTTGTCTGCTCAGTGCCACTCCACCCTCGTCCCCAAGCAGTGCAGATCCTCGCAGACAGCTGACAACAGGAGGCGGGGTGGGGTGGGAGGGGTCTGGGATTTGGCCCATCAAGTATGACTTCTTCTGAAAGAATGGTTGGCAAAGTTTGTTCTATTTCTGTTCTGCCCTCAACATCTCCTCACTGACTTATTCATTAAGTCTATTTCAGGTACTTCAGTTAGTTCAAATGCTTCTTTCTCACTGTCCCTTTTCTGGGGTCTCAATGACCATGTCATGATTGGGGCTGAGCTCTTCTGACTGATTGGCCACCAAAGCCAACACGGTGCTGCTGTCTCCAAGGTAGCGCCAAGGCTCTCTGTCCTCTGTTAAACCCAAACCTCATGCCAGGATCCTGAAGATGGACTGGGGGCGGCACAGGTGTGTGTGTGTGTGTGTGTGTGTCACAGGACCTCTGTATTTGTTCCTTTCCCATTTTGGCTACACAGAGTACAGAAGGCAGAGAATGCTTTTTGCCACTACTTATCTCGGCAAATGGCCCATGAGGACAAAGCCTAGCTTGTTAGTGGTGTCAGCACCCAGGCTCTGATCCTAATGACCCCACTGATGAGAGGGTCCCAGCAGCTACCTCCTCAGAGACCATGACCTTAGAGACGCTCAAGTCACAGGCTAAGGGAGACTTTACTGGAAGGCATTGCCCCGCAGTTCTCAGGAAACCACCAGGAAAGCTGTGAAAGTCACACATGCCCCACCTCACCAACAGAGCAGGGGTCTCCAAAGCAACTTACACAGTGATTCTCACACGGAGGCAGGACCACAGAGCTGAGCGAGATTCCCTGCTCGCAGGGAGAGGAACCCACTGTCCCTATTTTCTAAGGTTCTTCAAAGTTGAGCATAAATACAAAAGCTCCAGAAAGAAATCATTCCTCATCTACCAAGATGAACATGCTCAGAAAAGTAGAAAAATAACCAGTGTTGGTTGGGATGTGGAAAAACCAGAGCCCTCCTGTCTTACTGGTGGGAATATAAAAATGGAGGAAACACTGTGAACAACAGTTTGGCAGCTTTTTAAAGAGCCAAACGTAAAATTGCCGCAAGAGCTAGCAGATTCTTCCCTAGGTACACCCCTAAAGAATTAAAAACAGACACTCAGGAAGTACTGCGTGCCCATATCCATGGCAGCAGTATTCACAATACCCAGATGGCGGCGGAAACTCGGGCACCCATTTACAGGTGACTGGACAAATGAACACATGCATCATTCGTCCGTGACAAACAAATGAATTACGACACGCTGGAATACGATGGAACTTGGAAGCAACCACCAAGTCAAACTAGCCAGGACACTGGGCTCTGAGGGTGGCCAGGGAGATGGCTGGGAAAAGGTTAGAAAGAGTCAGACTTCGTTCGCATCGATCAGGAGGGGCTGGAGAGAGGGCTCCGAGGGTAAACACCCGCTGCACAAGGGTAAGGCCTTGAGTTCGCCTCCTCAGAACCCCTGGAGAGCAGGGCACAGCAGCAACCATTCATCTGCCATCCTAGCATCTCCCCCCAAGATGGGAGGGGACACAGGAGAATCCCCTGAGCTCAAGGGCTGTAGTGAGCCTGAGGTTTTCTCCCTGAGCTCCACATGCATGCTGCGGCACTCACATACACACACACACACACACACACACACACACACACACACACACACACACACACTATACTTTAACAATTTAAAGAAAAACTTTTTAAAAGAATAGGAATGGATGAAAGCTCAAGCCTTGAGGAGCTAAGTGGATCTGAAGGAGTCAGGAAGGGTGCCGGACACTGCAGCTCTCTCTGCCCCTGCAGGGACACCAGGCAACAGAGACCGGGCATAGGAAAGAATGGCCAGGGTGGCCCCATCTCTCTCCAGGGGCTGGCACTTGCTACTGGCGGCTTGTGTCCTGTAGACAGGAGGTGAGCGGACAGAGTAACAAGCGCGGTGTGTATGGCAGTGAGTCATTGGGAAAGGGTAAAAAGAACTCAACTTCCTTAGCATCACTGAAAACTAAGTCGAGAGATCTGTCTGCCCCCGTGACCACAGGCAAGTGTTCCAAGAACTGTGAACAAGGGGGAATCAGGGGAATCCATAACATTCATGCAGTGAAAGGCAGAGGTAGCACAGACGCATGTGCTCTCCCTTCCAAGCTGGGTTCTCGGCCTGCAACCACGCTGCCCACCTCCAGGACAGAAAACAGCTTCTGCTGGCCTTTTCACGGGCACCTGAGGTAACAAGGCACTGTTTGAGCAAAAAGCAGCAAAAACACTACCTCATACTCTCACATTCCGTGGGCAATTTTTTCCACCCCTCTCTCCCCCGATTCACTTCATGTAGCACTGGAAAAACAAACCCTCCCTGAGACACAGTCCCCTCCATTCAGTTCAAACACAGGGCTGGAATGGAGACCAAGCCGCAGGCAGCCACACAAAGAGTCACTGTTACCAGCCTGGCTCAGAGGCGGTGGCCTCAAAGGCCCCACCCTGCCCAGCCACATCAGTGACAGAATTGATCTATTTTAAGTCCCCAAGATCCCTGGGGTCTGCCGAAGGTGGCCTGTTCCAGAGGTGGGGCCAAATGCCCTGCAGAGGCACAGAGACACTCTCCGAGCACCTGCAGTGAAATTAGGAAGAGAATGCCTCCCATCGGCCTTTGTTTCCAGAAGCAATGAGTGACAAGTAAATAAAATCACCAATTCCAGCCACAAACCCTGGGGTCAAGATGAGAGGGGAG